TTTCTTCTTGCCACCACCCCAAAAACCCCACATCCTTCGACTTTAATGAGCAAATCATTTGGAGCTTTAGGGTAATCTGATGTGCACAAACCTGACTGGCACATGTGTCACAGAGGAGTCTGGATGAGCTGGATTCAGTGATGATTGTAAGGGCTGCAGGACTGAATCCTTGCATATAGGTTTAAACTCTTTGTCTGCAAACTGCTCGTGAAGAGAGCATATCACTGCCTGGGAAATAAAGGTGTAATTTCCCTGTTCTGGCTTATTTCGGAACATTTGAGCTGCTGATGCTACCCTGCTTTATAAAACACCTGCACAATCCAGGCTTGAAAGAGGCCACACTTTTATTGAGCCAGTTTTCTCTGTCCTGGTTCATCTTTCCAGGCATTGGTGGTGATGGTGAACAAAAGCTTGTGGAACCTTTCTAGATTTCCCTCTCTGTCATATCCCTGGGGTGTGTAGTTCAGAGCTTCTTACAAAGCGTTCAGTCCCAGAGCTTTTGAAATGCTGCAGGTCTTTTTTTATCCAAATGTGTATAACAAGTGTATTAGGAACAGGCTTTTGCCATCGTTCCTATTGCCTTCAGCGATGTTGAATAGGAATCATCCAGTAAGCAAGATAAAAAATGACATCTGTACAATATGAGGCTGCTGTTAGTCCCTGATGTCGAATCTGGGCAGTCAGCACCTCTACACCCACTTTTGTGGCTATTCTATACAACACGTGAAGTTGTTTAAAGATTGAATATGGGAAATAAATGTCACAGCTTCACCTGAAGTAGAAAGAATTCTTTTTGTCTCACTTTAAATGTTCCTTAAAATGAATCTTTGAGTATAAACCAAGTCAGGGGAATATTGTGTGAGAAAGGTGATCCTATGAAAGAGCGTTTTGTCTTAACCATGGTGATCCCTGTTGGGGAGATGACAGTTGCACGTTTGAAACAGCAAAGCCTTGAAGGATGATTTAGGATCTGACAAAGAAAAGCGTTTTCTGTATCCCCCTCCTCATTATCTCTCCTCTCTGAATTCTCCAGGGGAATTTCTGACTTGTTTGTTACCTGCTCCAAAAATGATATTCGTGTGTGGCACACCCCAGAGAACAAGGAGCTCCTGCGGATCGACATGCCCAACTTGACCTGCCATGCCGTAGAGGTCATGAGGGATGGCAAGAGCATCATCTCAGGTAACCGTCAGCCCACACCTGTGGAGTCCAGTCTCCAAGTGTTGCCCAGTTAAATAAATATCAGTATGTTAGAAGGAAGAGAGGTTTAAATTGGGAATGGGTTTAGATTTGGTTCATCACTTGACCCAGAGGCCTCTTTGCTTGCAGCTGGTCTCACAAACTTTTCTCACAGCCCCCAAAATCCTAGTGCTGTAGATATGGTGGGTGCAAAGGTTTGGAGACCTCGCTTTGGACGTGAATTCAAAGCAGTTTTGAATTCCAGCAATTCAGAGCTCAGTTCAGGCTCATTGAAAAGACCTAATTCTAAACTCCTAACCTTTTTGCATGCAGCCGATTAACCTGCAATGCACGTAGAGCACCTTGTGCACAAGCCCTGCTACCCATCACCCCAGGAACCACTCCAGTCCTAGAGCAGCGATGCCATCCCCCCGTTGTGCCATCCCCACATGACCAAACCAATTTGTCCACAGCCAGAGCCAAAAAGGAATTAAATTTTAACAGTCTGTTTGGGGCCATGGCTCTGCAGGCTCATCTACAGCACAGAGGTTTCCACATGTGTATTGGTGATCTAAAAGGGTGGGCATCATAAGGGAACTAAATAAAAAAAGAGCTTCCTTTGGAAAGGAAAGAGAGACAATGGTTTGAGGGAAGCCTGCGTGTTGGGTGACATGTTTCTGTCCATTCCTCAGCATGGGATGACGGGAGGATCCGTGCCTTCCTGCCGGAGTCCGGCCGGCCGCTCTACGTGATCCAGCACGCCCACAGCCTGGGCGTGACGGCCATTGCTGCCACCAGCGACTGCCGGCGCATCCTCAGTGGAGGGGGCGAGGGGCAGGTAACTGCTGCTGAAAAAGTCAGGAAATTGGTTGTAGGCATCATACCTCCAACAGATTTCTTCCCAGTCATACAAAAAAAACACCGTGTACTTTGCTCCATGCTCTTCATATCATTGTGGCTCTTTTCCATCTGTAGAAGTGGCACTCATCTCCTAAAGTTTGAATAATTTAAACACAGGGGTTTTATTTACATTAAAAATACATAATCAGACTTGAAAGGCTCATGTTCAGTTTTTTGCCTTGCTCTGGACTTCCTCCCTGCAGTCTGGCAAGCACTCGGGACCAGACATGTAATTGTGTGTGGATTCCTGATGCGGTGTAACCACTCTGTGCTTTCCTTGCATACTCCCATCTCCAGTGTCAGTGTGCCGTGCTGGAGATGGCATGGGAAGTGGTGCAGAGTGAGGGATTGAACTTAGGTCTTCCAAATCTCAAGCTGCTGTCCTAATGGTTGAACCATCTTTCTGAAGTGTTCTGCACTTGAGCTCTCCTGTAGAGCAGTAACAGCAGCAGGGCCCTGTCTCGCTGCATAAAGACATTAGAGATGATTCAGCCCTTCACTAATCAAAGAACAGTGAAGTGCCTCGGATGATTAGCTGTAGAGGATGCAGAAGATAAGGACCTGGATTCTGTATCAACACACGCAGGCTCTGGTTAGTTGATCTCTGAATTGAAAAAGACAGCTGAGACCAAATTAAAACTAAAAGTTGGTTAAGTAGAAATGAGAACTGCAGGGGAGCACTTGCAGTATTCATTCAGAACACATAAAAAAAAGATGTTCTGAAATGCTAATGGTTCTGTCAAAATCAGTCCTCTGGCTTGCTGGGTTGCTTAAGGGCTCTGCATGCCCTGATCATTTAGCAAGTGGGAGCTGGACATCTAGATCCCACAGGTAACTCAGCATCAGTCCTGAACACATGGAAGGTCAGCTCTCTGCTTTTGATGTCAGTGTCTAAATCTCAGTTTCACTAGGATTTGACCTTAGTGGAATGTAAAAGCAAATGGGTACCATGAAGTCTGGCATTAGTGGGACAGTAAACATGAGGTGTGAAGGATCAGGTCCTCAAAGCAGAAGGATATTTGCTGTTACCACCACTGGCAACAAAGGTGCTTTCAGGCACGTTTCACCTCAAAGATTTAAAAAGCTGTTTTGTGTTTACTTACTGGCACTATACGCAGCACAAATAACAGGTTTATTCCATTTCAGGAGCCTTGCTCTTTGATCTTTAAAGCAGTGCTGAAAATATATCATGGAGTAGATGGTTTTTCCTGATCGAGAGATGAGTAAACTGAAGCATGGGAGAATGGGAACTTGGGTAAAAAAAGGTCTAGGGTTGATAGGAATTCCTGAACCAGGTGGATTACAGTCTCAACAGTTCAGTTTTATGAGTCAGCTGCATGAGTAACCACAGGAAAAGAGAGACAATCTGTTGAGACTGAGTTGCTGTATGTTATATTATATATATATTATAAGGAGAAAGGTGAATTCAGGAGAACCTCGGGCATCCTCCTGAGCCCAGCTGGGACCAAGGTGTACAAGAGCAGATGTTTGTTGCTGATTTTCAGGTGAGAGTCTGGGAGATTAGTGAGAAGACTCAGAAACTGCAGGAAGTCCTGAAGGAGCACGTGTCTGCTGTGTCCTGCATTAAGATTAAGAAGGATGACCAAGAGTGTGTTACAGCCAGCCTTGATGGAATGTGCATCATCTGGGACATTGTGTAAGGAGACAGATATGTAGCACTTAAAGTGTGTCTGTTGGGTCAGTGTGCCTGCTTTAGGACACCACATAGTGAGAAGGAGAGGAAAAAGAACATTAAGAAAGAAAAATTCCTAGAAAGGACAGTCATAGGATCATGAAATGTTTTGGGTGGGAAGGGAGCCTTAAAGGTCATCTGGCCCAACCCCCCTGCAGGTAGCAGGGACATCTGCAACCAGAGCAGGTTGCTCAGAGCCCCGGCCAACCTCACCTGGAATGGTTCCAGGGATGGGGTAGCAACCACCTCTTTGGGCAACCCGGGCAAGGGGCTCGCCACCCTCAGCATAACAAATTTCTTCCTTCTATCTGCTCTAAATCTCCCTCTTTTATTTTCAAACCATACCCCCTGGTCCTGTCACAACAGGCCCTGTTGCCCGGTCGAATTGGGGAATGTAGAAACTCCAATGCTAGAAACTTTTCAGTAAAGTTTAGACAATCATTTTTCTCAAGTTCTTTTTTTGTGTTGGATCCTGCGTGGCCGAGGGGGTGGGGCAGGTGATTTCCTGTTTTCCACTAGCTCCGTTTGCCAGCACTTCAGGACCCTTGTTGAGCTCTTGCAGATCTGCAGGTCAGGATAAGGAAATTTTTGCATAGTGACTAACTCCTAGAAACCATTCTGCATTAAAAAATTCATCTTGTCTGACAGCAGAGCAAAAGTCTTACAAGGCAGCTGTGGAAGGAAACAGAACTGATGACCTAATAGGCTTCATGAATCCCTGAACTCAGCCCAATACCTGAAAACAGCCAAGCAGAAAGTGGGATCTGGTGCATGGCACAGGCAGAGATGGTTCAGGCAATCTACAGTCATTTGCTCACCCTATTGCTCTGTCCTGTTTTGGGCTGCTTTACAGGCGTTTTGTGAGAAAACAAATGATGCTAGCCAACACGTTGTTCAAATGTGTGTGTTACCACCCTGAGGAGTACCAGGTGATCACCGGTGGAACGGACAGAAAGGTAAGCAAAGCTGCAGGAACTCTGTCTGCAGTAAGCCCAAAACACCATGTCTGAGGCTTGTGCTGTCACCAAGCTCCTGACCCTCCATAGAAAGCTGTGTTACAGGGCAGTGCTGAAATCCGTGTGCTGTTCATGCACAACTGAGCTCTCCTCTCTGCTCCACTCTCTAGATTGGCTACTGGGAAGTATTTGATGGCTCTACAATCAGAGAAGTGGAAGGGTCTGCATCAGGATCCATCAATGGGATGGACATCACATCTGATGGGGCATACTTTGTCACAGGTGAGTAGGTGGATGCAACTGGAAAAGAGGAGCTCAGAGTAAGAGCAGGAGAAGGAAGGTGCTGAGCCAAGGATCCCACTAAAGAAAGAAAAAACTGAAAGGAGGGGTGATCTAAATGGAAAATAAAGTGATTTGCTGATGAAAAATACTTAGAAAAAGGCTGTAGTTCAGACTTGGATGATGCTATGGTTCAGTCATGCAAGATGGAAAGGTAAAGACAAGGTTTGGATGTCTCCAAGGGAAGAACAGAGGCTTTCACCTTGCCCTGCTCCTCGTTGAGCTCAGTGCTGTTCCCTGTGCACTTGAATGATTTGTGGTGGTTCCTGCTCCCAACGCCTGGCAGTCTCTGTTGATTTGCAAGCAGGAATTTGGACTCCAGGCTCCATCCTGCCTCAGGCTCCCATGTTCTTCACCATCAGGACAACTCTTCTGGGAGCCCAGCACTAGTGCAAAGCAGCCTTGGTACCATGTATGACAACTGGAGTCAGCTGGTGTCAGCACCAGTTGTTTTAGAGGAACCTGGTGTAACAAATGTTGGTTGAGAGCCTTTTGAAGATGCTCAATATTATCGGTACCAGTTGTGTGGTACACAGCTCCCTGTGATGTGCTGGTGCAGGTTCACTTTGGGCCATGGTTTAGTGGCCATGGCAGTGTTGGGTTGGTGGTTGGACTTGACCTTAGAGGTCTTTTCCAACCTTAATGATTCTCTGGTGCTATACTGGACACTGACTCTTATTTCAGCTGAAAAGAAGTAGGTTTTTCCACAAAGCCCAAGACAACCTGTCCCACCTTTCCTAAGGTGGAGATATTCCCAGAATATTCCCCTGCCTGTGATCTGGGAAGAAAGCTCAGCAGAACTCCATGTAATGGTGCGTTCTTCCTTCCCGCCCGGTGCAGGTGGTGACGACCATCTGGTGAAACTCTGGGACTACAACGAGGGTGCCGTGACTCACGTCGGAGTGGGACACAGCGGCAGCATCACCCGCCTGAAGATCTGCCCTGGGAACAAGTACATTGTGAGTGTGAGTGCGGATGGTGCCATCCTGATCTGGAGATACCCAGGCGGGCAGTAGCGGCCGGCACGGAGGCTGCCCGGCTGCTGCGTCCTCAGCCAGCCCTGGGCTGCCTTTTCTCCTGCAGCTGAGGTGGTTTGAGAGCGTTCATGATAGTTTTATATTTAAAATATATAGAGAGGAGACAGTATTTCTCTGTTCCCTGGCAGGTTTTGTTCAGATCCTTCAGATAGCCTTTCTAGCCCTGAAGGCATCGGTCTGATGTCTTCAGAGGGGATAGGAGTTTGCTCTTCCTTTGAGAGGGGGACGAAAGGATTTATCACTTCTGAAAATTGTTTTGGCTGTTGTTGTTGTAACACTTGCATGTTGTTACTGCCACCTTTCCCTCTGTCTCCTGGCATGGTCCGACTTGTATGTCTGCTCCTTTTTGTGGGCTCTCTCCTGCTTACACATGGTCTCCCTTTCTCTTCCCTACCCCCTTCTGTCCTTTCCTTTAATGAATAACTTGTTGTGCAAATTCAGTCTTCTGTGTTCATTTTAATTTGTCTGCTCCTGATTACAGAAAAAACCATCAGCTCCAGCTCAGGCCTGGGAGGCTCTTTTGAGCCAAGCTTTTAAATCAGTGCTCTCAGAGGAGTTCAGGGATGTCAGGGCTTCTTCACTTGCGGTGTCCAACTTAAAACTCTCTTCAGGGGCCTGGTTTTCAAGGGTGAGAGTGCAATCATTTCTCAGAGTGCCCGGATGGTTCCAGCTAGACACACTCAAATTCCTGATCATTGGCCTAGTTTTTAGAACAGGCTCCAAATTTGCATGAAATATGTATTTAGTCTAAGAATGAGTGCTTGGTATCATAGCTAACATTAAACCCATCAGCTCTCAAGATGCTGTTTGTTTAAAGATCAGGGTAGGCAGCCAGCAAGTGAAGTAAATCTTTTGCAGGCACTGAAGGCCTGGGAGAATTCTGTCACAAATTAAAACAGTAACAAAATGTTGCATTCCTTAAAGTTAAGGCTTACCAACGTTTTTGTTACCTAAGATGATGATTTAAAGGGAAGAGTCAGGTAGATACTGCCATGCCTGTACTGATAGCATCAGTTGTTCTGGTAGGGAATGGGGGATAGGAATTTCAAGGTAAGATTAATTATTATTCTTTATAAGCCACTAAAAATGTCTGCTGTTGTAGTAGAATAAGGGTGGATCCTTTTGGACTGGCTCAGGGGGTATCTGTACACCCATCTTGTCCATCAAACACTGTACAAGTCATGTCCCTGCTGGGTGACGTAGCTCTGCTCTTACTAATGGAGTCTTGAGCGAAGGGATGAAGTCATTCCTTCCTCTTCCTCGGAGCCCAGACCCGATGCTGTGCAGTGATGAACACTCCAGCAGGTTTGACGAGCTCTGCAGCAATGCTGGCTGTGGTTTGGGAGGCAGGACCAAACTGCTGGAATGTGGGACAGGCAGGTGAGCAGCTGTGCTCGAGCTGTGGGGAGGAAAACAGACCTGGAGCCGCTGAGAGCTGACCAGGCTGTCCCGAAGACCCTCTCACTGGGGTCTGAGGTGCAGGTGGCTGGCTGGCAGAGTCCCACCTCAGCAAAGCAGTTCCATTCCCGTCAGCTCACACCAAACCTGGCATTACAGGCAGGAGGAGAATCGAAGAACCCATTGGGGAGCCAAAGTCCTGGTTTTGGTGTGGCTGCTCTGCGGTGTAAGGACCAAAGTCCTGCATGCTCCTCCTGCCCTAGCTGGCTCTTCACAACTCAGAGGCAGCAGAGCAAGTCAGGCTGTCCTCACTCACCTGGCCACTGTCACCCTCTGGCTCTGTGGGGGACAGGAGTTGGCATGCTCTGAGTAAAGGCTGGTAGACCATACTCTGACAGCCAGCCAAGAGGCTCAGGGCCTGTGTCTGTCACCTGACAGATAAGAACATTGAACTCAGGTCATAGAATCATAGAGTCATAGAGTGGTTTGGCTTGGAAGGGACCTTAAAGATCATCCAGCTCCAAACGCCTGCCATGGGCAGGGACACCTCCCACTATACCAGGTGACTCCAGGCTCCATCCAACCTGGCCTTGAACACTTCCAGGAATGGGGCATCCACAGCTGCTCTGGGCAACCTGTGCCAGTGTCTCAACATCCTAACAGTGAAGAATTTCCTTCTAATATCTAAACTAAATCACTCCTCTTTCAGTTTAAAACCATCCCCACTTGTCCTATTGCAACAGGCCCTGCTAGAAAGTCTGTCCCCAGCTTTCCTGTAGACCCCCTTTAAGGACACAAGAAGGTCTTCCCAGGGCCTCTCTTCTCCAGGCTCTTTACAGCATGAAGCAGCAACACATGACTGGAACCAGCCCACATTTGAGGCATGGACACAGGCTGACCTGGCTTGCTCCAGCGAAGGTGGGTGTGGTGCCAGCAGCAGCTCAGCATCTCCTCTGTCCTACAGCCCGAGGTGCTCCGTTGGTGCACCCACCCCAGAGTCCACGCACAACGCTGGGCCGTCACATCCTTGCTGCTCTAGGGTAGGTGACAACCATGGAGGTCAGGTTGCTGCGTGAGCTTCCAGGCTGCTGGCGCATGTGGAAGGGACGAGCCCCGTGGCTGAGCCAGGAGCTTGGGAGCTCATCTGCTTTCCCTGCCGAACACGCTCCTCAGCAGCACGGCCCCGCTCCCCAGGGAGCCCCCAGAGCTTCACAGATGGAGGTGACCTACATGAACAATGCTGAGAAGCAGCATGTGGAGCAACCTGTGCTGCTTTTCCGCCAGAAGTCAGGTTGTGTTTGGGAAACAAGATCTGGAGCCACCAATCCCCCCGTGACGCGTTCTCCCGACGGCAGGCGCGTGGTGTTCTGCAGCAGGGACGTGCTCACTGGGCTGTGGTGGTGGAGAACAGCCCAGCTGATAATGGGGATCTGTAACCCGAATGTGGGATCAGCCATGGGTGTGATCACCAGAAAGTGCTGGGGAGCATCAGTGCCCCCCACTTTGCCCAGGCAATGGGAGCTGATCATGGAATCATAGAGTCACAGAATTGTTTGGGTTGGAAGAGACCTTTAAATTGGACTCATCGAGTCCAACCATTCCCCCATCACTGCCAGGTCCCCACTGAGCCATGTCCCTCAGCACCACATCTCCACAGCTTGGAACCCCCTCCAGGGATGGGGCCTCCACCACTGCCTGGGCAGCCTGGGACAGGCCTCCACAACCCTCAAGGGCAAGAAATTGTTCCTCAGCTCCAACCTAAACCTCCCCTGGGGCAACCTGAGGCTGTTTCCTCTTGTCCTGTCACTTGTTCCTTGGGAGAAGAGCCTGACCCCCACCTGGCTCCAGCCTCCTGTCAGGGAGCTGTGGAGAGCCAGAAGGTCTCCCCTGAGCCTCCTTTGCTCCAGGCTCACCACCCCCAGGTCCCTCAGCTGCTCCTCCCCACACTTGGGCTCTAGACCCTTCCCCAACAGCTTCGTTGCCCTTCTCTGACCATGCTCCAGCCCCTCAAGATCCATCTTGGAGTGAGAGGCCCAAAACTGAACCCAGGATTCAAGGGGTGGCCTCACCAGCTGATGTCACTCAGCTGCATCAGCAGAAGCAAAGAGATTCAGCCAAGATAGGAGGAAGAAATTTTTGACCCTGAGGGTGCTGAGCCCCTGTCCCAGGTTGTCCAGAGAGGTGGGTGGTCCCCATCCCTGGAACCATTCCAGGGGAGGTTAGCCAGGGCTCTGAGCAACCTGCTGTAATTCGGGATGTCCCTGCTTACTGCAAGGGGTTTGGACTGGATGAGCTTGAAAGGTCCCCTCCCACCCAAACCAGTCGGGGATTCAGTAATTCTGCTGGTGCTCCCAGGTCAGCCCCATCCCCTGGAGTTGTGCTGCCGGCTAGAGGGGTGAGCTGAGCAGAAGGATCCTGCCTCCCAGCACCGAACTGGTGCTTTCCCAGTCCCCCAGCAAAAAATGAGGTTCCTGTTTGAGCAGCCATGGGTAGCTCAATGTAGGTAGCTCTGCGAGCTGGTTTTGTTGATCCTGGCGATGCCCACAGTGGGAGGCTGGTTCCCTCTGAACCCTCTGAGCGCCCCCAGCTTGGCCATGACACCCAGCAGAGCCCCGGGTGGTTTCCACAGCTCAAGCCCTGCTCACTGCTGGAGTCTGGGGGCTCGGCTCTCCCTTCCCCCCCCCAGCCTGAGATCCTGCTGCAGAGCTCCCAGCCTCCGAGTTCCGAGGGAGAGCATTGCCCACAGACACGTGCTCGGCCGAGCGGCCAGGCTGAGAACAAAGCAGAGCTGTTGCACACCACGTGCAGAGGTTCCTGCAGCTCAGGGGTATCTGCTGGCCTGTCAGCCTTCAAAACCAACAGAGCATGGTCATCGCTATTCATCGGCACCGTTCAAGGCCCCCGGAAAAGCAGCATTTACCTGCTCGGTGCTCGTCCTCCTCAGTCACGCTCCAAAAGAAGGCAGGACCCATCTATCTTTAATCAGGGCACTGAATCACTTAGTCTGCCATCTATAATTCAATTAGAGTCGGAGAGGGTGAGCAAGGAGGGATCTTCTGCAGGGGGAAGCTTCCTCTTTCTGCCTTGAGCTGTAAGATGGGATGTCACCATCAGATGGGGAGCTGCTGGGGGTTCTGTAATGCCATCAGCTTGTCCCAGTTACGATGCGATCTGATTATCAGCCCCATTTTGCCAGCAGAACAGCACTACGAATTTCCTCAGGACCTCAAGAATCTCTGAAAAACCACCGCAGGCTTCAGTTGCCTTTCTAAGTGCTTGCCATTCCCTGGGTCTGCCAAGCCCCGCAGGGGCAGCGAGACACAGGCTGCAGCTGGTTCTGCCAGAGCCACCTTGCCTCACAGGATCACAGGGCGGTTTAGGTTGGAAAAGACCTTTAAGGTCATCATGTCCAACCGTTAGCCTAGCTACCAAGTGCACCCCTGACCCGTGTCCCTCAGTGGCACATCCATGGCTTGGAAACCCCTCCAGGAATGGGGACTCCACCACTGCCCTGGGCAGCCTGGGACAGGGCTCAACAACCCTTTTGGGGAAGAAATTGTTCCTCAGCTCCAAACTAAACC